TTCATGTGTCATAGATTCCTAGAGATCAGAACAGTCTTCGACATTATGCATAGAGTTATAAACATTGAATGTTCCAGGACTTAAATAATCTATAACTAATCAAACAACTTTAACCAAATCTCTAGCTTGATAAGTTAATCAATTATATGGTTTAAGCACAATGGAAATGAAGATTGAAAGATTGTTAAAAAACCTAGCTTGAGTACTTGTAGGGAATCATAAACATCACCTATAAAAGACTTCACTTGTCTATAAGTGATCAAAAAAATTATACAAAGTACTTTAGTTTTGCTAGATACATTCAATCATTCAAAAGTTAAATGAACCAATTAAGTATAATAGAAATTGCACAAATATATTACTCAAACAAAGAATGACAAATCCATCACCTTTCACTACAGAGTGGATGAGAAACTACTCACTCTTCCTGGCCACAAGTGAGCTAGAAAAGTGAAAGAATCTCATCCCTCTAAGTAAAAAGAACTACAATTACAAAAGATGAATACAAACTCTTTTCTTCACTAAAGAATGAATAAAATACAAAACTCACCTTCATGACTTCTAGGGAAGTTTGAAAATGGGTGAAGATCATCTCTCCAAATGAAGAAGATACAATTACAAAAGACAAGTACAATGCTTTCTTCATTCTTTACTAATAACTTCATGGCTTCAAGAATGAAATACTAATTACCTTTCATGGCTTTCAAGAGAGAGAATTAGATGACGAAGTTCATCCCTCCAAATGAAGAAGATGCTAAGCAAGAAATATAAAAGATAGGAAATGTAAACATTACAAAATCTAGAGAGTATTTGAGAGAGGAATGCTCCAAAGCAACCTCCAAGCATTCTCTAACTCTAAGGACTAAGAGTGTATTTATAGATGGAGATAGGAAGCAATAGGTGCAAAAAGGACCAATTCCAAGGGTTGAAAAAAAAAATAAGAAATGCAACTTCGAAGAGCAGCGTCGGACGGGGTAGTGGCATCCGGACGGTGAAAACTCTATGGAATAGGATTCTTCAGGCTTAATTTTGCATTTGGAAAAGGGCATCTAGATGGTGGAAGTGGCATCCGAATAGTGGTTTCTTTTAGCTTGTCCAAATTTTCTTCTAAATTGCGGCCATTAATCAAGAATCTCACAATGGTTGTGGAGTCTGGACAATGGCTGCCTTGTAGAATTTTTGCTTTTTACTCTTTTGGTCGATTTTTCAACTTTACTAACCCCAAACTTTACCAAATTACTCCTTGTACCTTGCACTTTATGTTACCCTCTAGATTTACCCTATACAATTGAAATCATATAAATTATAAAAAATTAAACACAGATTGCATGTAATTAACCCTCTTAATGTATTGAAATGTCACTTTTAAGGGTTAATATCACTTAGAGGATAACTGTGGAGTATCTTCAGTATCAGCAAGTCGATACACGATAGAGACCCTCCCGATCATGAGCGACGAAGTGTTCCTGGGTTGGATGTATGTTGTTAAATATTTGAACACGGGAGAACTCCATGTATGTCTCAAGGATGCCCAAAAGATCAAAGTCAAATCTATGAGATTATGGGCCTCTCCAAACCAAAAAATCTTCCAAAATATTTTCTCAAGGAAATACCACCTACGCATCCCCGAGGATAAGGTCCAACTGTTGTTTTATAAAATCCATGAAGAAATATAATGAAGCCATATCAGTGCTCAGTCCTTGTCTCACTAACCATTTCTTAGGGATACTAATAGCCCTATATGCAGAAGGATGCCCAATAATATGTTTAGAAATATGTTAATTGTTAGAATTTTGACGCTATCATCTGGTAGCTTTTCGGATACCTCAATCCCCTCATGAGTCCATGGAAACTTTGCTTAGTGGGGATTGGATATCATTAGCCCTTATTGAAATCCTTGAGGAATAAGAATTTTTGTTAATATCCACTCATTACTTCACCAAATCGGTGGAAACAAAGCTATTGACTCAAAATCGAGACATTAACACCAAGAATTTTGGAAGAAAATTATTATTTAGTTTGAAATACCTTGAGCCATAGTGTCAGACAATGCCATCAATTTAATAGCGGCCACTTCAAGCAATTTTGATAGGAGCATAATATTTAATATTTCTAATTCCTTTATATTTAGTTTTATGACATATTTTCTCTTTAAGTGATCTGATTAATATATTTAATGAATTAGGGAAGCATTGAAGGTAAAAGAATAGATATAGAGTATTATTGTGCAATTTCCAGCTTTTAGGCAGTTCGATCTGTGGAGCTTCAATTGAGGTTTGGATGACGTTAGAGTTTAAGAATGAGAAAGTGGTCTTCATAAAGTTTTTCGAGGACATCTTAAGCTTTTCAGAAAGGTATGGTTTGCAAATATCCGAGTTCGTTTGGGCTTCCAAACATTGTTTCAAAGTTAGGCCTGGAAAGCTGATTCGAATCCTGATTGGACCAGTAAACTTCAGTGGGTTATAACTTGAGTTTTCGAAATCTAAATCAGGTGATTCAAAAGCCTAAATTTATCTACACATCTCCAACTGTGGCAATTCGAGGATATTCCAGTAATAAGCTTGCCCAACCTCGGGGCAAAACGATACCACCCTTGATGAGGAGTAGAGTTCTCCAAAGCACGTACGAAGTAAAAAACTCCTAGAAAGGGGGAGGAACATCAGCACTGTGAACCAGCCGCCATAATGAGAAGAATGTCATAATCACCCTCCAACCATTGAGAGTTAACCTCCCTGGAGTTAGTGATAGGTGTCCCAAGATCTGACATATGGGCCCGGGTATTAGGAGCCTTAACCCCGCCTCCAGGATATCCTCGTAAAGAACAATCTCTCCTGAGGAATCATAACATGCCGGCTCGTCCTCCTCGGCTCGATGACACATAACGGTGGGAGGGATACAAAACGAAGATATGATGTAGGCAATGTCTTCGTTACAGTCTATGGAGCTAGAGATCGAGATTACCTTTGACCCATCATATTTAGCAATTCATTTGCCTCACTGTGAAGCCTGCCTAACCTCCACCTTATTACCCTTACCAGCTCGGATACATGGTGAAACAAAAGCCAATAATGGGTGCAAGAAAGACATGAACAAGTTACCTAGTCAAAAGACGGTACCTTGTTTCCCTCCATAGTTTGGTCCGTTAGCTGCATTACCGACCACTCTAGTAGACGCCGCTTCAGTACCAAAGCCAGGTCTTCCTGCTCTTGCCCCAGACATATCGTCTGGCTCAATAAGCGTGCAACTAGTGCTGCCTGTTGTCATTTTGCCCTTGTCCAGATTAGAACGAAGGCTGCCTCCTACATCGTCGCCTGCACCATGGGCACCAACTCCCATAGCGCGCGCTAGTGCTACGGGCGCCATCCCTATTAGCTCTAGCTTCCCGCTGATAAGCATTGCTAGCCTGGGTCGACCTTGAGGTCCTCATAGCTAGGTCAGCCTCACCTAAACTCTTGGTAGCAGGATCGATATTGCTCGAGCCCACATCTCTATCGCCCATTGTGCTCATAGAGTCGCCCAAGGAGCTGATGCTGCCCAGCAGCTCACTGGTGTCGCCCATCATTTAGGTCGATGAACTAGATCCACCTAGCCTGTGCCCATCGTTGCCAGAGACACCTACACCTGCTGGAGCCATTTGCCTCGAGCCCACCTAGCCATCGCTTGCCATGCATCAGACTAGCATCGCCCAGCTTACTAGCGCCGCCCAATCCTCCAAGAACGACGTCGCCATCGCCTTCGTCCTCAGCTACGACGTCATCGCTTCTTCTCCCAGCCTCAAGATCACTACTGATATCACCTGGGGTGTCGCCTTGGTGGGCACCGCCATGTGGGTAAAAGGGCGTCGCCATCTCTCTCCATCTTCTTTTGGAAAGTTCCTTGCATTGGGAAATTGTTCAAAAGAAAAAGATGAGGGAGAGAGATGGAAGAATAGAGGCTATAAAGAATGAAAGGGCTCAAAGTACTTTCAAGGGTTATAAGTTTCCTGGCTAATAGGCCAAGCCCTAAATGAAAAAGGGGTTTTTTACTAATGAAAAACTCAGTGGAGAAGATTGTTTGCTACTATAATCATTGCCCACCCATGGAGTTACCAAGTGAAGAAGAGAAACTTTGCGATTGAAAGAATGAAGAAGCCATTGTGCAAAACAAGAAACCTCTTACCTATTCAGAGCTTACTCATACCCTTAATTCCCTTCTCTCGCAAGAAATTGGGGCTTGGGGCATGAGGGGCAAATGATAAGCCCAATTTAGACTGGGTCAAGCCTAACCAATTAATTAAGCTCAAATCAGCTACAAAGCGGGTCAAGCCCAATTCATGGATTCGGCCCAGTCCAAAGATCAAGGAGTCTAAGAAGATTAGCGCATGTGAAGAGTAATTATCGAGATAGTCACTTTCCAAGATCAAGACTATCTATAATTGTACCTACCCTAGTTGTAGCTATCTTCTCCTAAAAGCTAATAACCTACCCATTAAATCACCGCCTCAACTAAGACTCTGTGCCTATAAATTATAAGCTCTCTCTACATGAGAGAGACATTTCTCTACACACCCTCCACACAACTATTTCCCTCTCCTAGCTAGCCAACCTCTCCCAGAGTTTACATTTGCTCTCTCCCTCTCTCACATCTTACTTTATTAATAAAAGTCTTCGGCCATCATTGCCACCTTCAGAAGTGGAGTAGATCCCCTTGACCGAACCACTATATATATATATATATATGTGTGTGTTGACCCAATATTTGTCTTTTGCTATTGATTGTTTCATTAATTATTCTGAACGGTACACTCAACTATTGATTGTGCAAAAGTCTGTTTTGTACATCATCACATGAATTTGGATGGAACCTCATCTAATGAGTAGTTAATCCTCTCTCAGGTTTTGAATTTTATTTGAAAAATACACATGCAAAAGAAAAAAGGCAATCTTGGATCAGTTACTTTGAATTTTTTTTGAGATGTGTTTATCAATAATTTTTCACGTGTTGATGGAAGCGTTGAAAGCTTGTTATGATTCTTAATAATGCCTTGAAAGTTTGTCATATTCATTCATGCACTGCATGTGATGATTTTATTTACTTGAATAATTCCCAGTTTGTTTCAGGATGGGTTGCATCTTTCGAGAGGTTACGTTGCATCGCTGAAGTGGTTGGAGCTGTATGTTTGTTTAGCCATTGGATCTTTAAATTCACAAGTAAGGATTCATGAACAAATTATATCTACTTGGGAATACAAATCTTTACACTTTGTCTTAAAAAATAGTGATCAGTCTTTATTAATTATTATATTTCTTAGAGAATGAGTTTATCCTCTGCAAACACCTCTACTTTGAATGTACATGGGAGCTCGAAAGTGTGATCGAGAAAGTAGAAAATGTTCCAGATATTGTGGAGAGTGTGATATAAGAAGTGGAGAACATGACAAAAAAAGTTAATGAGAAGTTTCACGAAGGTGGAATGCATATTAGCAAAGGAGAACAAATAGTTAACGAGGTTCAGTTAGTAGAAGAATTGACTAATAAATTTTAACCTAATATCCTACTATTTCTTTTGTGGTACAAATGAGAATATAAAAGACACATATATTTGAGCGTCAGATGAAAAATCTACAGTGAAGTGACAAGTATACATGACTAGAGTGAAATAAAATGTTTAAAAATTTATCAAAAAACTCTCTCCATGCAATAAAAGCTAACATAACGTAGAATTGACTAATGAGATCCATGCAATTCTCCATCTGTGAATGTTTCTTTTACATAAAGCTAACTTATTCGCCTTGATTTTGTCCAACTTGGTTGAATTGGAGAATAGCAATGATATTCTAATATGAAAATAAAAACATCCATAAGTAGGTAGCCGAAATACCTTTCTAACCATTTCTCAATTCTATATACTTATCAATTTTAGCAATTTTCCTATGGCAAAAGTAACCAAAACCCAAAGATAAAATTGAAAAAAAATGAACAAAAAAAAAAAAGCCAATAAAATAATATATGTCTGGGCATAAAGCATGTTCATTTCCTATCACCAGCAATGGCAATTGTAATTGAGATAATGATTGATGAGCAGTGATTAGAGGCTTAATGGTTAGAGACATTTGGACTAGGAGTTCTAGCTATTTTATTTATTGTTTCAACTAAATAAAAATTCCAATAAAATGACACATGGGTGTGGATTTTCTTCATGGGTTAATACATAGATATGATATTCGTTTAGATATTTATAAACTTCCTTAGGATTATAAGCTAAATTTTATTTAATACTTTTCTTCTTAGATTTTGGTTTGATTTGACCCAATCTTCGATGTTAAATTAGTTACATTATAAACTTATGTTAATTACATAAATGAATTATTGTTCAAATTATAAATGGATGAATTATTATTGTTCAATTTATAACTAGTTGCTATAAATTAATGGAGAGTTGCGGCTTGAGAAAAAAATTGTTATAATTGATGGACAGTGGATACGGAAATGTTATGGTACTTTAGTGAGTTGCTTGATAAAATGAGAAGGTAGTTTATTGGGCATTGTTGGAACATTCGTTACTTGTATTTGTATTTCTCTCGCACCACTTGTTCTATCCATATATAACACATTGAGTTACACTTTCCACTCAAATTGGTATTGCAACTATTATCCTGAAATGCTTAGTTTATGTCTAGCAGATTAGGAAAATTTGAACTTCTTATAACATAGTGGAAGAGCCCTACAAGATTATCATTTTTTTTTTCTATTAGGTTGTTTGGTATTGCCATGCCAAACATTGGAATAAACTACCAAGAATGCAACAATCATAGACTTGATCAGATAATTATAGAAAAAATATAAATATAAATTAGTTCCCCTCTCTTGAACACACAAAACTTTGTCGAATAAGTTTCATGTGTACTTCTTTTAAACTCTTTTGATCTCTTTGAATGTTATAACTTTTGTTAACTACATACTCATTATACATAGGAAAATGCTATTTGAATCTTATTTGGGGGCCTTATTAGATTGGTTGTGAGCTTCATCTAACATTAAAACTCACAAGTAATCTAATAGTTGCATTGAAATCACATCATTAGGTACTTAAATAATGTCTCCAAATAAGGTCCCTATAATATTGCTCTTATACATATTAAATGCTTCTTTTGCACCAACTTTAAACTCAATTTGATCACTCTGGCCATTTAAAACTCCATTAGTTGCATCAATACTGTCGTAAACAAATTTTTCTTCAATGTCGTCGTCATCACTTTTTTCTACATGTCTAAAGAGAATACGTGACATCATAATTGCTAAAAAATAAAAATGGTACTAGGAATCAAGGTTATAACCAAGGTTGTAACAAACAAATTTATTAATAAAAAAACAATCGTTGAATTTTTTCCAAACAAGGGATGAATTATAACGATACAAAACTTATTAAAACAATGCATTTTTGGCTACATACATATAACTTGTAACATGCATTCACTCATGCACTCATACACACAATAGAAATTAGAGCCCATGGACTAAGTGGACTTCAGAAATGGCCTCTTCTTTAACTCTTGAAATTCTTCCTCAATTGTCAGCCACGGTGAGTGTAAAAGTCACAGCCAAAAATTACTTGATTTGGAGGAGTCAAGTTCTTGATCTAGTCATAGGAGCTGCTCTTTTTGATCACCTGAATGGTAAGTCTCAACCTCCAAAACCCACTGTTACTACTGCCGAAGGGAAGGACGAACCCAACCGGATTTTTACTGCTTGGAGAAAAACTGATTGGTTGCTGAAAAGCTTGATTTATGGCACCGTTATAGAGAGCATCCTCAGCCATATCATTGGTATGGACACATCTCTTGAAGTATGCTCCTTTTTGGAGAAAAGCTTTGCTTCAACGTCAGAAGAAAGAGAATTTAATCTCTACCGAGATCTTCAAAGAATTCCTAAAGAGACTAACGAGTCCGTGTCTGATTTTCTGTCTCTGTTCAAACAAGTATGTGATGAACTGGCTGCTATCAAAAAAACCTTGTCTGATTTTGATAAGGTGGTGTGGGCAATGAATGGTCTAGGGGCCAAATTCGACCCACTTATCAATGCTATCATGGCAAAACCCCATTTTCCTTCCTTCTCGCAATTTTTCCATTCCGTAACAGGTTATGAAACAAGAAACAGAATATACCCAGGAAGTGAAGAACTCAGTGAGTTTCAAGCTTTTGTTGCACAGAAACAGCCATATAGTCGCAGTGGAAATAACAATTATTCCAAAAACAAATGAAAATCTGTGTTTTTCAATTCCAAAGGTCGGGGGTTTGTTCAAACTCCTCAAAACTGAACCTATAGTGGAAAGATCCTATCCCAGAACCAGAAGGATGTCAAAGGCAGTATGGCAACAATTGGCTCACAAGTAAAAGAATGTCACATCTGTGGAAAAACCAACCATTCCACACCTAATTGTTACCGTATCCCTTGCCAAATTTGCGGCAAATAAGGGCACAATGCCATGAATTGCTATAATCGTTACAACCTTTCCTTCCAATCTAAAGATATCCCACAAGCTCTAGCCGCAATGCAATTCTAGCGACCCAGATTGGATACCTGATACTAGATCCACATCACACATGACAGGAAATTCAGGTATTTTGCAAAACCTCCAACCTTATCATGGTCATGATACTGTCATCATAGGGAATGGAGAAAATCTTCCCATCACTCATGTTGGGACTACTTCTATTTCTACTAATCAAGGAACTTTAGAAATGGATGGTGTATTATTGGTTCCCAATCTCACTAAAAATTTACTTTATGTGGGACAACTAACTAATGATACTTCTTATGTGTTTGAATTTTCCTCTAGAACAAGTTGACAGAGAAGGTGGTGGCATTCG